CTTCCCTGACGAGTAAAAAAAATCTTCGTTCTTATTCAAATGGATGATATATCAAGAACTTGTGATTTGCATTTACTTCTTTTCAAGCAACATAGAAGAGTGGATTACCAATGATCGGCAAAAGTAGACTGGCCAAATTCCAATGCGATTGCCGAGAACACTGATGGACTAACCTTTGTTTTTAAAAATATTATTACTGCAAATCTACACTGAACTGTGGAATGACAACAAACTGACACGCGAAAGTAACTTATGAATGTTTATAAGCAAAGATGGACTCTTTAGAAGGCGTTTGTGTAAGATTTCGTTGATCTTAAAACTGAAATGACGTATACAATGTTCCAGACAGTCTTGTACTAAAATATGTAAATTAGACCGAAAAACGCTCAACTTTCACTGCTGTTTATATGCTCGGATTTATGTAGGTTACATAACTTTTTACAGTTTTCATTACTTGGATCCTTACCTTTTCTCCCCATATTAGTTTCAAATCTCAGTCAGGTGCCACTTTTGAAAAATTGAATTTTACATTTATCAAGTTGCGTCTACTCTGCTGAGAAGAGGAAAGATACTCATTTTTCTCGACCGAGTTTAAGAGGAACGAATAAAGCTCATAAAAAATCCTTTTCAGAATACACCGATCCCGCTTGTCAATCTCCGTAATAAAAGTAGCCAATCAGAAGTCAAACTTTGAAAACGCCATTTCCGCTTTTAGACGACGCCATTTTGTCGGACAAGTTATCAAGGTCTGTGGAGGTTGATACCTTTGATATCTGAGTAATATTTTCAGTAAATATTGCTTTGAGACTTGCTATTGAAAGTTTTTAAGTTCCGAAAAATAACTAGAGGTATGGTCAGGCACTGCTGCTATGGTACTTGTAAATCTGATTCACGGAAAAGTGATATATCCGTCGTGTTTTTCCCCTTCCCAAAACCAGGCATGAAGACTGCCTTCATTGGATTAAAGCTTGTGGAAGGGCTCACAGCGATTTTAACATCCAGAAAATTACGAAGGACACATATATATGTTCAAAGGTAAGCAATAAGAACGATATTTAAATAATCAGAATAATCATTTTGTGACATTTTCAATATTCGTTCTTAGAGCACTTCATCGATGGTCATCCAAGCGAGAACTTCCCAGATCCAATACCTGCAGATGGCAGTGCTGTAAAACAAAAGGAAGGCCAGCTCCAAAAAGAAGAATGCAAACTACTGAATCCTCAAATAAGATTGATATAACATAATTTTTCGTGTGTTTTCAATGTAAACAGCTATAACAAGACACTAAACTCAATACTCCATTTATATGGTACTTACACAGTCCTAATGTATTAACCCAACAAAAAATCTGATGATCTCCCTTTTAAGTTATAAAGAAGATGAAGAGATGCATGCTTACCCTGCCACGCAAGTGCAATTACAATCTGTAAAACAACGTTCCTCTGTAGAAATATCCATATGGAGTTTGTGTGGTGTTTCATTTTTGCGCATCGATCGGTAACATTTGCTTGAAACAATTGCATGTTTTTCTTCAGATGTTTGCAATTTGACATCAAAGACATAACCATTTAGGAAATAGTTATATCCTCTCTCCTTAGATCTTAACGTGAGAGGTCGTGATCCGAAGAAATTTAATCCAAAATCTTTGGGTAATACATTCATCGATGTAACGCAAGGAACCGCCATATTTGATTTAATGTCCGAGGTTGCCTGGTTGCTATGCGTTGCTATGAAGGGGCGGAGCTTGAGGGATCGGAGTATTCAAAGTTGATTTGTTAAATGTTATTTTATATTATTGCAAAGTTTTGTTAGTTTTGGTTTTGATTTGTTAAAGTTAATGATTATCAAAGTCATCAGTTTTCAACCCTGATCCCCCACAACAAAACTTTTTTTAAGAATTCAAAACACAGGGTTGTAATAGGTTTACGAAGGGGAACTGACACACTCGGTATCAAGAAGATCGATTTTTCCACCCGAAAGTCGATGGGTGGTTTCTAGAGAGACAGCCTCTTAGATGTTTACGAGTCTAATTGAACAACATGCCATAGTCACATCGAACACGTGATGGTAGTCCCCATTTCTGTACAGCATTTTCAAAAAGTGAAAGGACTGTATCAGCCTTGTTGTTATTACAGCAAGAAACATACATAAGTGTCCTTGTCTTACCATCTATGCAAACATGGATTATAAGTTTATATCTTATCAATTTATGGCATGAATCTATATGCCATAGGCTGTTAGGAGTTGGAACGAAATATTTCCTTCGGTGTATTATCATTCTCCAATGAAGAGCAGTTCCGACAGGATCAACACGACATAAACATTCGCTAACTCTCCGCCTTTGAATGCGCAAGCCTCTACTTCTTAAGCACCAATGAACCGTCTTCTTCCAACATTAGGGGTAATAGGTCCTTCACTTAAATTACCCGCGATATTTAAGTAAATTTCATCCAATTCATTTTCTGATTTATCTGGATAACTTTCAAAACATTCACTCAAACCAAACTCCTTCCAACGTCACTGAAGTGTTGAAATGCTTACTTGGAGCATACTAGCAATTTTTTCCCAAGGGAAGAAAAGTGACCACAGGTGTTCTACTTGATCTCGGGAAATATTGAAACATTTGCGGCCAGCTCCTTCCTTTTTCACATTCACAGATGCCGAATAAGTGAAGTCAAGATTATCGTAAAAATCCAAGTCGTCCCTACTTCTGATTATAAAAGACAATGCATCGATAAGTTTAATCAATGAATTATTCAAGTCTTGCATCGGTACCAACATATCCTGAGGTGGAAGTGGTAGTACAGTTGGCATATTTGTATCATTTCTCGCTGCATCTTCTTGTAATAGCAAGGACTAAGTTCCTGAACCATCCATTAAGCGATGTCTTGCCTCAATTAAAGTATTGGTATCCAATTGAGAGTAATCAGCAAACAATAAAAGATTGACCACTCCTTTTAAATTCTGAAGAAAAAGCGCAAAACCCTGTTCATTTCTCTCTCTAAAAATTCTACTCCTGCGAGGCATTATCCGCCATGTTTGAATGTTGTGATGAAAGCACATGCTAGTTCGAAGACCGCAAAGACCTATGGGATATGCCCAAAAATTCATACATACATAAAATTTATTCTAGTGTTTTTACAAAKAATTCTGGACTTACATTTATTTATTTGCATTATAGGTATAATTAAATGTAACACACAAACAAATAATTACAGGCTTAGTAATTTTATTTTTGCTACATAAAATTAATTGATTAATACGAAAAAATAATTGTCGTAATTTTGACCAGAACAGGCCTCCATATTCTACACCCGCTCTACACCCGCACTTCCTAACCTGAGGTGTTTTTTTTTGTGTGTTTTTTTTTTTTATTTAAACATATTTGAATAAACATTTGCCCCAAAAGCTGTAAAGCTTATAAAACAAGGGGGCTCAAATCCATAATATTTACAGTACAAAGAAAGAAAATTAAACTAGCAAAAGCGAAATAATGAAAACAGTAAATGAAAATTAATCTTTGGTGAACAAAAAACGGTTCGTAGCCAATATGTACTTTTGTACTTCAGTGAAGTCTAAGTCTCTACAGCCATATAAAAACCAACTAAGTTTTTGCATTTTTGAAGAAACATTTTGCCACAAACTACCACAAATCAATGCAGCTGAGGTAAAAAGAGAATTTCTCTGAGCAGCATATAAGGGACATTTAAAGAAAAAATGCATAATCGATTCTTTTTCAATTCCACATCTACAGCGGGGAGAGGAAGAACAATTGATTTGAAACAAGTATTCGTTTAATGCACAGGCTTGTAACCTTAATCGAGCATGTAGAACTGACGCTATTCTTGAAATAGAATAATGAAATAATTTATTATATTTCAAAGAAAGAAACTTGTCACAGATATCTTTCTTAAAAATAGAAAGAGATTCCACATTCCCAATTTGCAAATCTAAAGAATTCCATAACTTAACAGCAGAAGGAAAAAGACTGTAGAAAACGTTCCGTCCTACAAGGAAAAAGACTAAAATTATAATTGGACCTTAGAGAACGAGTAGAACGTTCCTTAAACTATTGCTGGCAACAAGTCCGAGAGATAGGAAGGAGTGACACCCAAAACAATTTTATAAAAATGTACAAGTTTATGAACCTTACGTCTAGACTTTAACTCAAAGATTTGATCGTGTTCCTTTAATTGCACCCGTGAGGTTACCACTAGTAAAATAACATATCTCTCGACGACACAAATTTAAACTCATTTTTATAATCATACTAACTCGAAAAGCCTCAATAAACAGTTGAATTGGTGTAATGTTATATGCCATTCAATATTTAAATAAATTATCTGTAGAAAGATATAACATTATTGCACTCTAAAAGTGAATTTCCTTATTTGAAGAATGGGGTCTTATTGCAAGATCCCCAAATTTTTGTATCTAGACAAAATATCTTAAACGTAGTAATGCTAAATTCTTGAAATGAGTACCTTTCTAATTTAAATTTTTTACCTTGATATAAGATTTTTTTAACTCTTAAATGAGGAAATCATAAACTTATTTCGAGTATTCAACAGCCATATCATAATTAATAGGTGCTTGTGCTTAAAACTAGAGTTTCTTTAATCTTAAAACAAGACAATTATTTTAAACTCTGGGACGAACAAATAATTTAGACACACTATACTTTAAAAAAATTTCATTTTTTATAATTTGAATATAATGAGAATTATAGACAATTATGCTCTCAACGAATGCTGTTTAGTGCAATAATGATACAACAGTAAATGTTCCAAATACAGGGAAAAATTGAAAACGAGTACTTGTTGTCATAGACAATAACAACTATTTAAAATCATTATAAGTCCAATCTGATGTGGCTTTTCACATTTCACATATAAGTCAAGTTATAAAATTTTCAATAGCAAAGTTTTACATTTGAACACAATATTTTGGTGATGCATACATTAAGTGTAGTTTATATTCTTGATAATGACTGTTGTTAAGTACTTCTAAAGTTCCATGACCACAATGAATGATGCATCATTTCCCGTATGTGCGTGAAACACTTTGTAATATGGTAGTTTGCTATGAGCAATAACAACGTAGCCTTGAGCAGTTCCAGGCTCTTCTATCTTGTAGGCATTGAGCTTTTCAAAAAATGACACAGTTTCCAATGCCGTAACAACAAAGAATGGCTTGTTAAATTCATGAGGTAGCAGCCATATTTTTGTCAGTCTTCCAAACTGTGGAAATCCAAGATCATCAAAACCAATAATGATGAAATTATTTTGACCAACTTTCTAAAGGGTACCACAAAAAGTTATGGAATTGCACTAAAGGACATCTTTCACACCTTCTGAATTTGGTATTTCATAGAATGTTCTTATCAAATTCCTTGCATAGTCTTTATCATGGCCTTCTAACAGTTTTCCATGTCCAAGCTTGGTATGGAACTCACATGATAATGGACTGTTGTCATTGATCTCTTGGTCAAGATGAATAGCACTTACACTTTCCATAGTTTGATGTCTTACAGCCAAAGATAAAGGTAAGTTCTTGAAGTTTTTGATCTTGCGTGCCATGTCTTTGAAGTAAGAATGTTTGCCTTCAAATCTCATGCACCAACTTCTTATCAGTGGTCCCAACATTAATATTTGTGTTGGTAAGTGCACTAAATAATGTTGCTTTGGTGTTATCCTTGCATTGGGATATATCATTTTAAATGACATTAAATGCTCCTTGATTAATCTTTTTAGAGTGATGACAGAGGAATAGCTTATCTTATGGGCAAAACAAATGCCCATAATTTCGAGAAGAGACATGATGTTCATCCATTTTGGGTCATCACTGTCTACTACACCAAACAAGATCAAAGGAAGAATTTTTGCAAACTGCCACATTTGGCTTGCAGTTTGTCCAAGGTTGGTGCTTGATTTGAACTCTAGATCTGTCAATTGAATAGGAGCTGGCTTATCTTTGATTTCTGAATATCCATATGCAAAGTTGTCTATCTTATAATTTAAGGCATTCAATGTTAATTGGGTGTTTTCAAAAAGATGCTCGAAAAAAAATTTCAGTTCATAACTCAAAAGGCCTTCAAGAAAAACATGCATGATGTCTTGGGGTGCCTGCTTTGAGATATCAAAGTAAGGTGCTTCTAAAAGTTTTGCCCTATTATTTACTTGTAGCTTGACGGTTCCTGCTCTTATTTCAAAGTCGTAACCGTTATCAGAGCCAAGTACTTTTAGGTCATTGACTAATGGCTCAAGCACTTCGTTCAAACCAAATTCCTTGATGTATTTTTTTTTTGCAAATAGCAAAGATGTGTATTGATTTTAGTTTTTGCCCTATACTCGGGTTTTATGTTTGCTAATTGTTAATAAAAGAAACCAAGTTGATGCGCCTTGTTCGTCATGGGATTGACTATGTTCACATCATCATAATATATCAAAAGCTTAAGGGCAGAGTCATCATATGAAAATAAGGGATGCATTTTTTTAACTAAAAGACCTTGATCAAAATCCTCTAAATACTCATTATTTTGTAAACATGATGCACTGTTTGAAAAAACCATTTGAAGAATGTCCTTGAATTGAAGTTGCTCTTGCAAGGTTTTCAGTATACTGACATAATAAAAGTCTTTTTCAACTTCCATACACTTGTACTTGTTTTTCACTTTTTTGTACACTCTAGTACTGTTTAGGATGATCCTCTTTGGCTCCTGGATAATAAAACCATGAGTAGTGTGAAAAAATGCACGTTCAAGAAAATGTCAATAGTATGTGAAGTGCTTTATCAGACCCTACTTCTATGCATCTGCACTGAAACAACTTAGGGGATTAAACTAAATATTAAAAATGAATAGCACTCTATTGATTTCACAAAGTTATACTCCACTTTGACTGATTTCAAACTGGAAAATTTATAAGTTAGAAAAATTAACCCTCATAGGATTGAAGAGAACTACAAAACACACCAAGCACATGCAGCAGTCCTCAGGGGCTGAAACTCAGGTCGCCTTATGATTGGTTAAGAGAGGTCCCCATCATTATGAACAATTAAAAATTGTTGTGTTAACATATGATTTTTTGTGCAAGCATCCAATTAAACATAATACTGAAATTAAACAACATACCACATAAGAATCCATTTTATCTTGAAACTGAGATAACATCCAGGTTGTTTTAAGATGTTGAAAAGGAGTAACACAATCTTCAAATGCCTCGTCAATTTCATGCAGTTGACCTACGTTATGATCAGTTAGAATTTCATCCACCTTCCTTTTAAGTCCTTTCATAGCAACTGTGAGTAACTCTGATGTAGCTTGTGCCACCTTTTGCACAGACACTTGGGGAAGTCTGTTCTCTTCTCTGATCTTAAAAAGGTATTTTCCAGTCATCTGGAACAGCTGCTCATCAAATGGTTCTTGTTCAGTTTCTTGTGCTCCAAAGATAACTCTGTTGATGAAGAAACCTTTATGAAGCTATCAAGAGATGACTTGAAGGATCTCTTTCCTCACATATTTATTAAGAGAAAGAAGCTGTGGGACTACATTTGCACTTTTAACGTATGTTTTATGCTTCAAAAAATAAATCTAACTGACTCATGCTTTAATAATGCATGTGTTTTTAATTTGTATTCATGTTGACTTCATGCTTTGTAAAAATCTAGGGGTCCAGTTATCCTGATGCCCATGACAGTCCAGGGCCTGGAGCACCATCTGAAGAAACTGCATCCACTAAGTCATCTGGAGAGTCATCTTGTGACAATTCATCTGAATCCTCAAACTCATCCCCCGAGGTCCAAGTTCTGAAGCGAACAAAACCACGTGAATGGACTGCCTCAGCCACAGGAAAAAAGATCAAAGCCAGTTGGCCTGGTGCTAATTTTACCTTTCCACTGTCTGAAGGAGTAAAAAAATGTGTGAAAAGTAAGATTCCATTGAATGATAAGCTTCGTAGAGAACTCATAAGAGACTGTGTCACCTGCCTGAAAGCATCAGTTGGGGAAGGTATAAATACCAACCATGTAAATGAGGCTGCAAAGATCATATGCAAAGAAGTACCAGTGATGAAGGACGAGAAACCTCCTCTTTGGCCTGAAGATATGGAATTCCCTTATTGGGTAGGTAACATTGCCAGTGAGATAATGAATAATATAACTATACTTCTGATAAAAGTTGGAACTGCATGTAACTAAATCATTTTCATTTTCTGTGCTCAATATCAGGCTTCTGCCAAGCAAATGGTTAACAAAAGACTTGCAAACCTGAAGACATCCAGCAAAGGAAAATCTGCTTCCAGTGCAACTGCAAATGAAGATGACTTGCTTATAGAGACTGGAGAAAAGGATACTGAAGAAGATACATCCAAGCATATGAAAGTCCTCCACAAAGAGTTTAAGAAGAAGGGAAAAAATTGGAAAGTCATTCAACAGCTTCTTGCATTTACATTTGGAAAAAGACGAGAAGAGATAGCCTTGATAACTGGCCAGGGTGCTATTAGCAACATGCTTGATAAGCATGCTTACTTGGACCAACAAAGAGTGGTAAGTCTGATGGCTTAATCATAATTAACTAACATATTTTTAAAACATAGTTAGTAAGTACCTTATTGGACTGAATTGCATAATATTTATGTCACCTCTATATTAGATTATTTATATAAGCATGAACATGGAAGGAAAAACTGGTGATGGTATGGTACATGTAGATCAGAAATAGCATGACTCTAATTCATGCTTTTACTCTATTTTAGGTAACATCAACCTAGATAAATAATAGGTTATTGATCTAGTAGTTAATATTAGTAAACAGTGTGCTGCAGAAATGTACTGCTTTTGCTAAGTTCATTAAAGCTAATTTCCATAATAGTAAAGGGCTCGAAATAATGGCTGGTTATAACAGACAGTGTACAGCCAAATTTATTGGTATGTGACCAGCCAATTATGGGTTAGAATGAACACTTTGACTGGCAACATTTCAGRAAAAAAAATTACCAATCGTCAATGACCGGTCACAAATGGATTTGGCTGGACATTTTGGCCAGGGTATTACCAGACATTATTGTGAGGCCTGCAATACATATTTCATGATCTGGTTAATTAATGTAAATTGGAATCTTTGTTATTTCATTCACACCCTTTTAAGATCATGTTGGTTAAAATACATTAATCATCTTTTAAATTACTAGGTGCATGACAATGTTAATTTTTGTATTTTCACCTAGATACTATTTGAGTTGGAACTAATAATTGGCAAGGAAATAAAGGAAAAAGTCCCCTATGTTGAATTCATTAAAAGATGGGAAAAGCTGTCAAAATGCTTTTTGGATGAGGATGGCAATATTAATGAGGATGGTGATGACAGCCAAGGTAACAAAAGTTGAACAAAAATTTAACTACTCTTATCTCTCTTTGGCAATAACTATAATTATTACAATTGCTCCCCTTTTCAGATGCATTGAATTGATATACCTGTAACAATTGCTGCCAGTGTACATGTACCCCATGTTTCAAGGCTATGCAACATATATATTTTTTCACCACATCTAATTAAGCCTGCAGTTTGATTTATATTTTWAAAAATGCTCCTATGCTGACCTCTTCTACCGACCATCATCTTAGCACTGAAACAATACTGTTGTTTGCTGCAAGTGTGAAAACCAGACATCAAAACATGTTTAGTTGGCGCCGGAAATATGCATGTTTCAAAACTTAGACTGCAACGTTTGTTTTAAATGTGCGCATTTGTGTGAGACAAAGCACTAACGCTGCTCTCTGAGTCTCGAAACATATAAGTTTGGGTGCCAACAACAGAACAATTGTTTCGATGTCTGGTTTTCATGCTTATCTGCAAACGACAGTAGATTACTTTTTGTTTTGATGTGACAACACTGAATCAGTCATATGCCTTCACTTAAGCTGTATTACATGTATTTCATAAACTTCAGATCACAGTCTGCAAGCTCTATCAAATTTGCACAAGCCTTACAATGAAAGTCCACTAATTTATGTCCTTAAGGTAAGTAAACATTTAAAAAAGCCAGCACATAGGAGTATTCAAATATGAATAAAATGTGGTCATACTTTATGTGCCTAATAGACCTTAAGCATGATGATGTTTCCTACCTTTACTCCACAATCCTTTTCAAACTTTCTTTTCATATTCAAATGTTAAAACTTCTCTGAGAGTTTGAAGACAATAGTAATAACTAAGAAAACAAAAGAGGCTTCCAAAAGGGATTGTGGTATTTGAGGTATGAAACGTCATCATGCAAAGGGTTTATTGTGCTGTAAAATCTCATTGCTGTAACTCTGTATGTAAAGATGTATTTTACATTTTTTGTGTTGCAGTGTTTTGTGCATYAAACTGGGATGAAGAGAACTAGCCTTATTCTCATTAACTATGACTATGTGCTCTAGATTTTTGATGGTCAATGTGGCATAGATAATAACAGCTATTTTCTTTGATATGTGTTATAATAGGATGGTGAGAACCTGGAGTCCTATGTTCAAGAAAAAGTAGAAAAGCAAAAACCATCAGTTGTTGCAAGCTGCAATAATAATGCTGCAACATCAACTGATGAAAGTTCAAGTGACCAGATCTTCCTAATATTGGACAAGGAAGTTCTGTTTGAAATTCTACCGGTTGACAATTATGACATCTATCTTACGGCAATAGTTTGTGTCATAGCAGCTTATTTCATTTTTAATCTGCAGTACCGTGCAGATCAAAGTAAGATGTTCAGATTTTTAGAGGAGCATGTATTAGGTATCGTTCGATCATTGAGACAAGACAAATCACGAATCGACATGATAAATGAATTAGATGAGAGTACAGTGTTGATCACCCAAGACTGGGCGATGAAATTTCTTCCCCAGAAGTATCGAGAAACTCAGACCGATTGGTTCGGAAAGAGAGGGATTAGTTGGCACATATCTGTAGTGGTCAGAAGAACAGCAG